CATCTCATGCAGGACTGGTTGGCAAGCCTTGTGTTTGCTTGAAACACTTCCTGGATTGGTATTGATCTGGGGGTTATTCTCAGTATCCTTATGTTCATATCAACTTTAAGATTAATTGTATTTCTGTAAGCTGGGAGTGACATAATGTCACTTATAGTATTGTTATCCTTATTAGTATTGAGTTATCTGACGCACGAAGGGACATTCCTGTGTCCACACCTGTGTCCACGCCTGTGGGCACATTACAGTAGCCTGGCTTTACCAATACTGTACTCAGCTAGAGAGCTTCAGTCTCTTACATTTTCACCGGAGTGGAGAGCTTCAGTCTCTTACATTTTCACCGGAGTGGAGAGCTTCAGTCTCTTACATTTTCACCGGAGTAGAGAGCTTCAGTCTCTTACATTTTCCCCGGAGTAGAGAGCTTCAGTCTCTTACATTTTCCCTGGAGTAGAGAGCTTCAGTCTCCTACATTTCACCGGAGAGTAGAGAGCTTCAGTCTCTTACATTTTCACCGGAGTAGAGAGCTTCAGTCTCTTACATTTTCACCGGAGAGTAGAGAGCTTCAGTCTCTTACATTTTCACTGGAGAGTAGAGAGCTTCAGTCTCTTACATTTTCACCGGAGAGTAGAGAGCTTCAGTCTCTTACATTTTCACCGGAGTAGAGAGCTTCAGTCTCCTACATTTTCCCTGGAGTGGAGAGCTTCAGTCTCTTACATTTACCCTGGACAAGGAGACTTGAGAGCTAGAGAGCTTCAGTCTCTTACATTTTCCCCGGAGTGGAGAGCTTCAGTCTCTTACATTTTCCCCGGAGTAGAGAGCTTCAGTCTCTTACATTTTCCCTTGAGAAGGAAGCTTGAGAGCTGGAGCGCTTCAGTCTCTTACATTTTCCCCAGAGTAGAGAGCTTCAGTCTCTTACATTTTCCCGGAGAAGGAAGCTTGAGAGCTAGAGCGTTCAGTCTCTTACATTTTCCTGTCTAGTAAGGAACTAGAGGGCTAGAGAGTTTCATTCCTCTTACAGTTTCCCCTATAGTAGGGAGCTAGAGAGCTTTTTCCATCACCAATCACCAATTTCCCCAACAAAGAGAGCTTGAGAGCCTCAATCCCTGTACATATTTCCCTGTTCATATGGGTCAGGGAGAAGAGATCCATGCATGCATGCCTGACCACCTCTGATTCAAACAAGGGCTTTTATTTATGGGAAATTCCACAAGTTTTAATATTTTGACTGGAAACTATTGTGATGTATGAATACATCAATTAATTATTTCATCATGAGCATAATAGCCAGCCTTTCAAAGTGCAAATAAACATTGGGATTGTGAATGAGGGATAGAGTAGGCTCAGCGAGGGCATTTGCACAAGCAATTGAATTCTGCCATAAATTTCTAAGCCTTTGACTTTTAGATAGGACCATTTGGGGCAAATACATTTAATGTTAATTTAAGTAAATATTTTTGAAGTGTAATTAATAATAACATTTTTTAGTGACCTTACTTTGTGTAAAAAAGACTGTATGTTGAAATGTTGATGTTTGATCAAATTGTCAGTGACAGCCCTGGTAGAAACAAGTACCTGTATTGGTCCTGGCAGAGATATGTGGATGTCTTGATATTGTCTTGATCTGATGCTTCTGATTGGTCTCTGTAGTGATGAAGATGCAAGGTGCTCCCTTGCTGGATGAACCCTGTGGGGTAGAATAGGTCTTCAGCAACCCATGCTTGTCGTAAGAGGCGACTAACGGGATCAGATGGTCAGGCTCACTGACTTGATTGATGCATGTCATCGTATCCCATTTGCATGGATCGATGCGCAGTGTGTCAATCACTGGATTGTCTGGTCCAGACTCGATTATTTACAGACCTCCGTCATATAGCTGGAATATTGCTAAGTGTGACGTTAAACAAGAAACAAACAAAGTTTGCTGGGTTACAGAGCATGCACAGATCCATAATGGACATAATAGAACTAATTGTTCTTCAATTTACTCTTTTCTTCTCATATTTATTCAGTAGTCGGTTTGTGGTTCATTCGCACCAGGCTGACGATCAGTCCTAAGTGGGGTGATTCAGTGGATTTTCATATTGATGGATCGACATGAATGTGATACCCATGTAGGTTAATTGCTGACCTGTGCAATTAATGACGATTACTAGGCAGATTTACTTCATGTCTCTTCATAATCAAAACAGGAGGTATATATAGGGTTACACACATTTGTTTTAGGTATATATTTTATTGAATGTTTTTACAGGTACACATGGCAATATTACATAATAAGGTATGCATACATACATATTGCATAAATTCATGCATGATCACATTATGCATACAATTACATACATCTTAATGCTTTATTTTATATAATGATATGTCAAACAAGAACTGAAAATCCTATGATTAAGTGTCTGTTACTTTCTTGAATAAGAATTACTGGTATTGCAAATTATTGTATGCAGGTATGTCAGTCAGTATATTGTGATATCATACAGGCCCACTGTTATGTTAATACAACTACTGCTGTGCTACCACAGCGATTGCACTGTGCAGCTGCTGTGCACAGCGGATGCACAGCATGTTGATGACATAGTGGCACAGCGCCCGTGCTGTTCACAGCAGGAACGTGGGACAGCACTCACAGCATTCCTGAGTGTTGACGGTGACAATCACAGCAAGCAAGTCAGGCCGATGCATACCGATGCCAGTGTAACACTACATGTGTCAACAATGTGACATTTATCTCATATCACACTGATATTAGTTATGCTTTATGAAAATTATAATGCTAGCTGGCTTGGATTTGTGATCGCAACGTAAAGCCCCATTTAGCCTCATCTTACTTGGACTAATGCTTTGTCTCTGACAATATGTAAATTCGTAGGAACAAGCAATTACATATACAGTAAACTATGTTAACGAACACGCTTATGACACACTTACTGATATAACAAACTTATTTTTTAGTCCCGGATGTATATATGCTGTATATATGATTACGAAGGACCACTAAGTTTAGTTCGTAATAACCATAGTTCCTTTGAGTTTGTTATAACCATAGTTTACTGTGAATATGTGATGTTCTGAACCTGTTAAATTCTAGTCTTGCTTCACTAGGACTCTGGCATTACAGTGAGGGCTGGGTGGAAGGATAGTAATATGGTTCAGGGACTAAGGCAGACTACAGTCAAACTGACCAATTATGGAGTGTCGACATGATTTGTGTTGAATGCGACAATAATGTAGAATGTTTCTGATATGTTTTTGTTGCCCTATGGCAGATAAGCAGGGGATTATTGTGAGTTATGTGTCAGTCCATCTGTCAGTCCATCTGTCCATCAATCCTGCAATTATTTTGTGTACTGAGCATGACGGGTGTGCATTTCTTCACTAAACTTTGCACACAGTTTGATGTGTGATTCAGCTGCTTGTCATTGTCTCCTCACAGAGTGATGCCTTCTGTCTGTCCTGCTTCCAATACTGAAGGGTGCAGTGGGGTGGCCTAGTGGTTAAAGCGTTTGCTCATCATGCTCATCAAGGACCCGGATTCGATTCCCCACATGACTAGAGTTCATCTGCCATGGCCATCTTTGGAGTCGTATACAGTGCTGCAATATTGCTGACACATTATAAAACATCCACACTCATTTCCAGACGAAAAGGATGATGTTGTTTGTTCGTTGTTTAATGCCGTACCCAGCAATATTCCAGCTATATGATGGCAGTCTGTAAATAATCAAGTCTTGACCAAACAATCCAGTGATTGACATCGTGAGCATTGATCCACACAATTGGGATACGATGACATGCATCAACCAAGTCAGTGAGCCTGACCACCCGATCCAGTTAGTCACCTCTTACGACAAGCATAGTCGCCTTGTACATCAAGCATGGGTTGCTGAAGACCTATTCTATCCAGGATCTTCACAGGGAAAAGGATGATGCTCGTCCATTTGTACTGCACCATTCCATGCTTGATATCATGCTGAAAGCTCACGAAACTACCAACTCAAAACTACAAATAACATTTCTTCACACAACTTTTCACACTGATCAGTCCAGTGGTGCGTTTGCATCTTTGGCATGTAGTTCTTTTATTATTTGAAAAGAAATAAAACTTAATAAGAATCAATTTAGGCTGAGTCTCTGAAACTTGTGTTAATAAGCAGTTATCACGTGGGTAATCTTTGTCCTACATAGGTACAGGGATGATTGGAGGAATCTGTGTCTTCTGATGTTCTGAAAAAGCCATGTTACATTTCAGTGTAATTTGTGTGTGTGATGTTCTGATTTCCTGTAGTAAGCCTTGGACAGCTTGCCACATTGCACTGGCTATACACTGTGGGTAGATACATGGTGATGATATTGTAATCATAATATAATTATTGCAATTATTTAAAAAATATTACACTATTGTAATACTTGTCTAGAACAGAAATTAATGGCCAAAAACTCACCCCTAACCTGTCACTCGCTGACTCAATGGTTTGCCTGTACCAGACCCCAGTTCTCCATCACCTGACCATCTTCCAAACTGGCTACACCCTCTTCACCAAGTACTCCATACTCAAATTGAGTTAAAACAGCTTACATCCAATTGAAGCAATTTTTTTACATTAAATTATCCATTTCATGTATTGTATACTATATTGGAAGGATGGACTGGAATTTCTCCTGCTGTTAATCAGCTCTCAATGCTACATGTTCATTTCCCTCAGCTCTGTGTGAGCAAGCTGGGCAGGCCGTAGCCTTGCTCCAAGGCTGTACTGAAAGAAAATTCCATGGATGTGTAGTAATTATATCCTAAAAGGCAAGTCTAGATATGTTGACAGTAGATATGTGGACTCCAGTCCCTTATAGGGATAACGTGTTCTGAAATATTTTCATAATCTAGAACTTATGATTTAGACTAATTATTATTGACTTGGAGACTTGTGCAGGTCTAGGCAGGCTGTGGTGTGTGCAGCACCTGGAGGGTTGAGACATACTCTACACTTAATAACAGGCGAGTATCTGCACAGATGTAGACTGGGAGAGAAACTAGTCAGGAGGGATATATGTGGCAGTGGTGGGCGTTTGGGGGTTCAGTGTAGGCTGAGGCAGATTGCATACCGTTCTGGAGTCCACTGTTACACCTTTAGTGAGAAATCAGCTGGATTGTCAAGTCACACCAACATATTGACGTGTGGATTGGTGATCACACACACCTAGCTGTGACGGAAGTACGAACAACACCCGATCACAGCAGCAGGTATACCAGTGCTGACCTCTAGCGAGTGTTCCATTCAAGCGCTTGACTTGTGTATCTGGGCCAGCGTTATGTGGTGTGGCAGTCTAGGTAGCTGAGGCCAGTTCACACAAGTGGCATTGTTGCTCAGGAGCAGTCGAGCAGAACAGCTTCAGGGGAGAGATATTCTCAGGATACTCCACCTGTCACCTTGTCTCAGGCTATACTACTACAGTTATTGGGATGGAGTAGGCTCGCTACACCCACAGGTAAGACAAAGCTACTGGCCTCGGGCAAGCAGCCTTCTAAGCCCCTCTCTCACACACACACACACACACACACACACACTAACACATCCACCAAGCAGTTGATCACTGCAGAATCAGGATATGAAGGTAGGGTTGACTCCCAGCTGCCTTTTCTGTACAGTTGGAGGGGGATATCTACACTTACTTGAGTTCAGTCACTGTATCTTTAAGGTTTGGCCATGTGGTATATACACAGGCAGACTTGAAGTGCAGTGTAGGCTATAAATAGCTCAGGTCGTAGTGTTGGGACTGTGACCTGAGTGTTGTGTTTGCCGTAATGTATATGGATTTGGAACTATTTCTGTGTGTTTGTGATGAATGAAGGTAGGTGAAGGTGCTGGCTTCATGTTGTGGGTGTAGAAAGGGTTCTGGGTGTGAGGATGCCACGGGCAGACTCTAAACATACAAGCACCTGCGAGATACCGGCCATTGTTGGGATTGTTGCGTATGAGATTGTTGTTGTAAGAATGGCTGCGTTTTGAGGATTGTGTGTGGGGTGAGTGGCCAGGGTTGGACCATATGGCCACAGAAGATATCTGTATAATGACTTGTTTGTATAGAACCAGATCATGGCATGGAGTAATATATCAGGCAAGACTGTCACCCAGACAAGGGCTCTGTGCTGGTCAGGTGGAATGCTTGAAACAGGAAGTGCTGCATCATTCATAAATATCCACATGTACTTATTGATTCCGACAATGGTGGGAGATTTACAGCAATGGGCTTCATGAATATGTGAAATGTGATTCAAGGAGACCCTCAGGAACCAGTCGGTCACATGAGCGTGAAATAATGGTGTTTATCACATACTGAACAGGAAATAATCTGCCATATTATCTCAGAAACACATAACTGTTGTAAGGAGATATGTAATATACAAAGTTGTAGTTGGTTATTTGTATTTGTAGCTATCGAGCTATGTTATGTGAAATCATGTTGTATATTCATACCTACCAGCCGGTCTGAACCTCCACTTAATCAATCAAATCCCCCTTCATCATGCAAACCCCCTTTATCATCCTGACAAGTACCGACCCCTGACTGACTGATTCACCAGTCACTTCCTACAATACAAATGCTTCTGCCACACCAAACAACCAGTCCTTCCACCCTGGCTCTTCTAATGTGTATAAAGCCCTTTGCCCTAATCAGCTGACATACTACTGTATTATCGCAAGAATATTTGTTACTATGACTTACAACAGGAATATGACTACGACTGTCATAGCAAGTAGATTTCTGACTATGACTGTGTTATAACAAGTATATTTCTGACTATGACTGTGTTTTGGCAGGAGTGTTTCTGACTATGACTGTTATATGGCAGGAATGTTTCTGACTACAACTGGGGGGCACAGGTGGCCCAGTCGTCTAAGATGCCGCGATTCGCTGTGCAGAGTTGCGTCCCTTGGGCACGCCAGAAACCTATGATTGTGGGTTCGAATCCCAGTTCACCCCAATTATGTTTCTAGGTTTGTCAGCACCATACCCATGCTCGTGGGTTTCAACAAAGTGGTAAATGTCTGAGACCTGCATCACTTGGGGCTTTCCTCCCACATTAAGATGACACGCCGCGATATGACTGGAATACTGTTAAAAGCTGAGTTAAACCCACTCACTCACTCACTCACTGACTACAACTGTGATATGGCAGGAATGTTCTGACTACAACTGTTATAGCAGGAATATAACTGACTGCTAACTACCTTCACCTGTCATATGTTCACAGCATCAACTAACACCATCCACCCCTCTACCATCACCATCCACCCCTCTACCATCACCAACCATCACCCAGCCAACATCCAGTCAACACCTATGCTTGCCCAAGGTAGTTACAAAGTAAAGTGTGGTGGAAAGTTTCGTCACTTTCTCATGATTTTTGTCTAATTTCTGCTCTTCATTATATTCACAGACTTATATGCATACTTTTCATCATAACCCGGACATGCACCAGACATGCACCAGACTTGCCTTACCAGAAGCCGGACTAGTTTGGGTTGTCTTCATCCACCTTTTTGGTTATGACCAGTGCATGAAATAGCCAGGTGTGAAATGCTGTTCTCATCCCCATCCTCCCTCCATCTCCTTTAACCCCCATGGTGACTGTTGTAGACCCTCCATCTCCTTTAACCCCCACAGTGACTGTTGTAGACCCTCAATCTGGCTTTAACCCCCACAGTGACTGTTGTAGACCCTCAATCTGGCTTTAACCCCCACAGTGACTGTTGTAGACCCTCAATCTGGCTTTAACCCCCACAGTGACTGTTGTAGACCCTCAATCTGGCTTTAACCCCCACAGTGACTGTTGTAGACCCTCAATCTGGCTTTAACCCCCACAGTGACTGTTGTAGACCCTCAATCTGGCTTTAACCCCCACAGTGACTGTTGTAGACCCTCAATGTGGCTTTAACCCACACAGTGACTGTTGTAGACCCTCAATCTGGCTTTAACCCACACAGTGACTGTTGTAGACCCTCAATCTGGCTTTAACCCCCACAGTGACTGTTGTAGACCCTCAATCTGGCTTTAACCCCCACAGTGACTGTTGTAGACCCTCAATCTCCTTTAACCCCCACAGTGACTGTTGTAGACCCTCAATCTGGCTTCTTCGCCTCTCACCACCTTGTCCATCTGGGTCATACGAAAGGCATTAAAAAATAGTACTTCTTGTTACCTTGGCTCATACTTGTTGTTACTCTGCCTGGCACCTGGCATTTAGGGGCTAAAACAAGGACTGGTCAGTTCAGAGTCTGTATCCTGTGTTTGAGAGGGGTATCCATGTTAAGCTGCAGCATGGTATCTCAGTGGACTAGCATTTTAAAACTGGCATTAGTCTGGACTGGTACAAGAGCGCACACACAGACAGACACAGACAGACAGACAGACACACACATACGCAAACACAGAGACATACACACACACACAGAGATACACACACACACACACACACACACACACACACACACACACACACACACACACACATGTGAATGATAATCTCCATGTAGGTGCAATAATCTTGAACGTTAAACTACATTTCACCTCGAGACTTCACTGCCTGTTGTTCACGTCAATCGCCCATCAAGGCTTACTGTGTGAATGTATGTATTGATTTAGAATGATACACATTACTGCTTTTGCTGTCATATCTTGTTTGTTGCTTGGTAGTCTGTGGAATATATTGTCTGATTTGTGTCAAGTGTGATGCATGAGAGGTTTGTGGACTGCGGGACTGGTCCTCAGACTATTATTACTACCCTGACGGCAGCTGTCTGAGTACAGTGGCAAGTATCGTGTAATGGCTGTCAGTTTTCATGTCTTTATTTCTCTAGTATCACGCAGAATTGAAACTGCAGTCCAATTCCATGACTCGTTGAACAAATAGGTAGTTGTCCTGGATTTTTTAAAAAAAAGATGCAAAATTATGACCATCGAATTCTGCCAGGTTTTAATATTGAGAATTCTCTACAACATATTTTTAAAACTTTGATGTGGATCAATATTCTTCCATGTAGCCATTGAGAAACTAATGTTGGTAGAAAGAGAATGCAAACACTCATCAAACTTAATTAAGGACCAATTTGTTATGCAAAAGCATGAAATGTGTGTCTCGTTATTCCCCTACAACATAATAATCCATTAGAGGTGGTCCGGTTTATGATAGAGATTTAACATTCATCCGAGACCCTCTTTATGATAAAGGTTTAAGCTTGGAAGCTTTCAAAAGTGTTGTAAGCGATGTCTGAGTCAGTTTAAGGAGTCTCCTTGATGTGAGACTGATAGCCTGACGTCAATGTGACGTCATGACGTGGCGACATCAACACGCATGTACCAGTTCATCACACTTCCAAGTCGGGACAGGGTCTAGCTGGAGGTCATCTAGGTTTGCGGACTGCTTGTTCCTATCAGACCAGGAAACATCAGCCTTCTTCATGAATATCATGTTAGGACAGAATTATATTTGTGTGCCATGCTTGTCTTGGAATATTTCAGATAACAGGCTTATTTTGTAGTTGCTCATTTCGAAATATCCAAGTTTTGATAAGATGATGTACTATGTGTTTGGGGTGTTGTTGTTGCATTTTGTGTTCATATATGGATATTTCACAGCAATATAAGTATTGATTTAAAAGTTATAAGCGATTAATACCTAATTATCTGTCTAGTGAGACTATGGGATAGGTTGTATGGAAAGCTGATGGATTGATGAGTTATTGCGCGTAACACCGTATTGAACAGTATTTCAGTTATAACACTGTGTCATCCTAGTGTTTACCATCATCCTGAACTGACGCAGGTTGATCATCATCCTGAACTGACGCAGGTTGATCATCATCCTGAACTGACACAATTAGGCCGCCATTGTCCAGTGCTTTCTTCAGAGGGTGACAACAGAGGTGTGTGTGTGAGTGCTTCTGTGCATGTGTGTGTACATCTGTGTGTGCATGCATCTGTATGTGGATCTGTGTGTGCATGCATTTGTGTGTCTTGCATGTGTGTGTGTGTGTGCATCTGTGTGTGTGTGTGCATCTCTGTGTGTGTCTGTTGCATGTGTGTGTGCGTCTGTCTGTCCACCCACATGTGTGCCTCTACATGCATTACATGTGTGCCTATCGTCCCGCTGCTGCCATGAGTGCATGCCCACTGCTGACACTATGCCATCACCCAGTAGAATGTTCATGTAGATGCCCTTGTGATGTGGACTTGTGGAGGTGTTCCGTATGCCATCACCCAGTAGAATGTTCCTGTAGATGCCCTTGTGATGTGGACTTATGGAGGTGTTCCGTATGCCATCACCCAGTAGAATGTTCCTGTAGATGCCCTTGTGATGTGGACTTGTGGAGGTGTTCCGTATGCCATCACCCAGTAGAATGTTCCTGTAGATGCCCTTGTGATGTGGACTTGTGGAGGTGTTCCGTATGCCATCACCCAGTAGAATGTTCCTGTAGATGCCCTTGTGATGTGGACTTGTGGAGGTGTTCCGTATGCCATCACCCAGTAGAATGTTCCTGTAGATGCCCTTGTGATGTGGACTTGTGGAGGTGTTCCGTATGCCATCACCCAGTAGAATGTTCCTGTAGATGCCCTTGTGATGTGGACTTGTGGAGGTGTTCCGTATGCCATCACCCAGTAGAATGTTCCTGTAGATGCCCTTGTGATGTGGACTTGTGGAGGTGTTCCGTATGCCATCACCCAGTAGAATGTTCCTGTAGATGCCCTTGTGATGTGGACTTGTGGAGGTGTTCCGTATGCCATCACCCAGTAGAATGTTCCTGTAGATGCCCTTGTGATGTGGACTTGTGGAGGTGTTCCGTATGCCATCACCCAGTAGAATGTTCCTGTAGATGCCCTTGTGATGTGGACTTGTGGAGGTGTTCCGTATGCCATCACCCAGTAGAATGTTCCTGTAGATGCCCTTGTGATGTGGACTTGTGGAGGTGTTCCGTATGCCATCACCCAGTAGAATGTTCCTGTAGATGCCCTTGTGATGTGGACTTGTGGAGGTGTTCCGTATGCCATCACCCAGTAGAATGTTCCTGTAGATGCCCTTGTGATGTGGACTTGTGGAGGTGTTCCGTATGCCATCACCCAGTAGAATGTTCATGTAGATGCCCTTGTGATGTGGACTTATGGAGGAGGGGTTCACTTCTGCCATTTGCTCAAGGTTTTTTCTGCTTCTCAGTTCCGTAACCATGCATTATTTACCTGAACATGTTCATTTGAAAATGAGACAATGCCTGCATCATATGTTACCTTTAAACACAAGCCTCAAATAAACATGCAGTACCAATCTGAAATTTCATCTTTAATTGTTGAAATTATCAGGCAGTTTTTAGATTACTTTTCATGATAATCTAAAACAAATAATGTTTTATCTGATCATTTTACTAGAACAATTAATTTGTAGTTCATTTCTACATGTGGAGTTTTATGCCACATGTACTGGACACATTCATTTGGTTTGAATATCGTGCAAATGGTTGATTAATTATGTTTTGGTTCAATTGTTCTTTATTCCTATTTGAAAGCCTGCCTACTTTCTGTTGTTCGCTCCATTCCTAGATTACCACAGCTTATCTTCCTCAGGGTATTTCCACCACATTGTCTTGTGTTGACCGAGTTGGCCGATTGGGACTGGCAGTGCTTCAGGTTCCTTCTGGATGTGGCACTCCCGGCAATTTTGAAGGCCATTTGTTTTGTAGAGAGAACTATTACTGTGGAGAATACCCCACGGTTTACAACAAGTGTTCTGGCAATCAGTGGAGAGATGTATTTACGTCCTGCTTTCAAAAGCTCTTCGTTTGTTTATTTTGTAAAATTCTTTTGATGTCTAGTTTAGATGGTGCAATTTATTCTCTTCACGTAAAAGATTTTTACAAATAACTTTTGTTCTAACAGTTGCTATTGTACAACTAATTGAATTCTGAGTGTAGAGGTTAACTTGATGTGAATGGTGACTAGGATTATTGCCAAATGAACGAAAATTTTGAAATAAGGAAATAGGTTTTGTTAAACCCATGCCTGACACATATCAACATCCTTATTCTGCGTCTACGAATTCCAATGTTTTACTTTCATTGCATGTTGGCCATTTTGTTTTTTCTAATATTAGGATTTGTAGTCTTCCATTATGTGCTCCAGGTGTTGTGATTTAAGAGTGATGGCCTTTCTGGGGCATAGCTCCTTAGACGGGAATGCATTTGTTCTGCAAACATGCAGCAATTGTGGTTGGACATTCTAGGGATGCCATCTGACAGGGCTTTAATGGAAACTAGATTGTGAAGGCTGTGAGTACAATGTGTAGACCCTGTTGCTTGGAGGGGCACC